ACCAGACAGGCCTTCCCTGTGGCCACAATAGCGCCTCCACACCTCATCCCTCTGTTCACTCCCTGCTTCTTTCTGCCCTTAGCACTGATCGCCCTGACACATTATACATTTATTCCTTTATTGTCTCCTCCTCCTAGAATGTTAGCTTCCTGACAGCAGGGAGTCTGTGTCTTTTGTTCAGAATGGCACCCCTGACATCTGGAACAAGGCCTAAAATGTGTTAAGTGCTCAGTAAATATTTGTTAGGTGAGCGATGAGCAGAGGAATGATTGAATGGAGCCTCACTTTCTCTGGTCTATAGTCCAGAGTTGTTAGCCTGGCATCCAAGGCCCTGGAGGACCCGCCCCCAACGCTAGGCTCCATCCCTGCTCCTTCCATGTTCCTCAGTCCCTTCCTGGGCCCCCGAGTCCAAATGATCTCCCTCCTCCTTTCCTGATTCGTCCAACCCCTCCATGGTTTCCTCGTGTTATTTCTAATCTGGGAAGCCCTTTCTTCCTTTCTTTGGGAAACCTTCCCTCCTAGTTTGAGAAAATTCCACTTATTATTCAAGGCTCAGTATCAACATCTCTGGAAAACCACCCGGTCCTTGCAGGTGGATAGTGGGATAACATCTGTGCTCTTACAGAGGGTCCCTCACCCACGTCTGGCAGGCACTACCCCTCTTTCTGCCCTAAACACACCCCCAGCGCTCTGAGGTCAGCAGACCCGCTCACTTCCTCTCAGGCTTGCGCTCCTGGGGTTTTCACCTCTTTGGTTTCTCTTCTCACAATGAAGACTGAGGAGCATGTGAGGCCGAGGTGGAGACGCCTCTGTCCACCTGTGGACTTGGGCAGGGCAGGCTTTTCTGTGTTTATGAAACAAATCCAGGCTTCCCCACACACAGACAGAGATAGAAACCTCCCTGGACACTCACCACTGCGTGTCTCTTTGCAGGCGACCTGCTTGCCTTAGAAGCCAGGAAGCCAGGGACTGTTGGTGTGTGACGTCAGTGCAAAGGAGAGGTTGATTTCCATCCCACGAAAGAAACCAGAACATGCCAAGCAAGGGCCGTGATAGAGGAGTATGTAAATCTAGGCCCCTCCTGCAGATGGCTGTTCCCTCCTGGTCCCACATGGCAGCCTACGGTTCTACATGGCAAGGGGCAAGCACAGAGGCTGCGATTTTCACCTGAGAAGTTTCGCTTTCAACTTGAGGAAGTGGTGGGCAGAGAACAAGCACACAGTCTATTTCCCGCCAGTGTCCGGGCGTAAACAAACTGCAAGGAGGCAGTACAAATAAACAGACAGGTTTCCAAGCAAAGCAGGCCTCCAGGTTTTTGTGAGGGTGTCAGGCACACCTCCCCCCACCCCACCTTGCCCACACCGGGCACCCTGTGGTCAGGCCATTGCCAAGACATTGCAGCTTTGAAGGAGGTGTGTCCTGAGCCACTGGGAGCCACTCAAAGCCTGGGGGTGGGGGGTGGGGTGTGCCTGGAAACCACATCACAGAGCCTTATAAAGCCACCCACCTTCTGCAAAGGAGCAACGTTACAATTGGTTACAACGTTAGAATTGCATTCTTCATAGGAACTGACAAAACAGAGATTGGAGGAAATAGCCCAAGTGATGCCACAGGAGCAGCACCTTGGTTAGCCATCTCCTCATTCATTTAAAACTGTTAGTCCCTGGCCAGGTAGCTCGGTTGGTTAGAGCGTCATCCTAGCCAAGGTTGTGGGTTCGAGCTCTGGTCAGGGCACAGGCAGGAATCAAACAATGAATGAATAAATGAGTGGAACAACAAATCAAGGTTTATCTCTTTCTCTTTTCCTTTCTTTCTCTCTTTAAAATCAACACAAAAATAAAATAGTTAAATTATACTTAAAGTCTTTTAAAATGGGCAAAAATGTATGGTGCCTATAATATTCTACAGTGGCCAGCGGGGGTCTTGGTGGGGGGATGCATCTTTTAAATGAAGGAGGAAGTGGAACTTTAAACACAAATAAAAAAGGGTAAGAGGCCTAGAGAACCATTTCCTCTCAATCGGTAGTTCTCAAACATTTTGGTGCCAGGACCCTTTTACATTTTTTTTTTAAATGATTGGAGATCTCAAGGAGCTGTTATTTAGTGTATGTGGTTACATCTACCAGTGGATGCTATATAGAAATTAAAACAAAATTTTTAAAAATAATTTTTATTAATTTATCTAAATACAGCAATACATTTATTTAATGTTTGATGTTAACAATAAATAATTATGTGTGTGTGTGGTTTTTTTTAATGAAAAATAGCTTTCAAAATGAAAAATGAAATGGTTCCCAACATAGAAGACAGCTGGGTTCTTGTGTAAATTCTGCATTCAGTTTATTGTGATATCAGGTTGGCTGCTTCTGGAAAACTCTAAGGTGCATTCATGAGAGAATGACAGTGGAAAGAGCAAACACCCTAGTCTCAGAATGAAAGTCGTTTTGATCTCATGGTCCTCCTGTCAGGTCTTGGGGACATTCAGGAGTCTCCAGACCATTCCTTTGGAACCACTTTTTCACTCGGTACACCAGCTATTAATAAAATAAATACCAAGCCTTTGCTGGGCTTCCAAGCCACTTACTTACATGACTTCCCTTCTTAGTATGTGCAGTAGGCAGAATTATGAGTGACCCATTTCCTGCTCTCTGGTGTGCATTTTCCTGTGTAATTTGGGGAACTTGTGAATACGATGGGATAGTCACTCCCATGATTAGGTTATGTATATTGCATAGTTGGCTTTAAGAATGGGAGAGTATTCTGGGGGTATCTGAGCTAATCAAGTGAACCCTTAAAAGGGCTTCTCCTGAAGAATAGATTGAAGAGTGCACTTTCATTCAATTGAACACAAACGGGATTCTCTGTTGCTGGCTTTGAAGGTGAAAGGAACTTTATGGCAAGGAATGCAGGCAGCTGAGACTGACCCCTGGCTGACAGTCAGCAAGGAAATGGGAACCTCAGTCCTACAACCACAAGGAACTGAATTCAGCAATAACCTGAATGAACTGAAAAGGATTTTCTCCCCTCCCCCCTGAGCCTCCAGAAAGGTTTGCAGCCTGGACAACACCCTGATTCAACCTGGGATACCCTGAGCAGAGAACCTAGTCACCTGCGCCTGAACTTCAGACCTACAGAACGGTGAGGTAATGAATGAGTACTGTTTTAATCTGCTAAGTTTGTGGTACGGTTATACAACAGTGGAAAACTAATGCAACATGTGTTGTTTTAATTTTATTTTTAAGTCACACAAATAATCATAAATACACCTTCCTTGTGAAAAATGAAAATATTATTGAGAGATTAACAGTTCCTTTTGACACCCCCCACCCAAAATCCTTGCCAATCTGGAGCCCCTCCATATCCCTTTTTTTCTAGGGGTATGGTATGAATAACCCCTTTGTTGGCTATGAATCCTTCCTTCCAGACTTTTTTCTATCCATTCATGTGCATCGGTATGTACCAACAGAAAAGATAGAATACTGCTGTGGTTTATTTATTTTTCTTATTTTAACTTCCGAACATTATTGGGATGAATGGTTTGCCACCTCTGCCTCTCAGGTTATTCACAGCTAGAGTGTCCCCGCTCAGTTTATAGGCTCGATTCCAAGCCACCAGAGTGACTTGGTGGCTCTCTTGTCCCGAAGTAACCTGTTAATGGTCACCTGGTCCCCGCCTTACCCAGCACCGGACATCAAGGGACTTCAGAAGGTCCTTCATCAACTCTCCGATGATTTAACCAACCGTGAATAGGTATGGCCTTTTCAGAAACAAACCTATGGCATGCACCTGCCTTACCTCCGGGAACTAGGACGAATCTTTGCCAGTGGACCACCGGGCCAGCTTCTGGAGGGTGGTACCTTGCCCAGGGAATAACACCCCCTCCATCTTAGCTTCTGATAGAACCGTCAGAGGCAGGTTTTCCAAGGTGGCTTTAGTGCTGGGTGCTCAGAAAGAAGTCCTATCTCAAGCTAGCTTGGCCTCCAAACTCGCAGAGCCGAGGAGCCACAAGCCCGTGTGTGACACCTGGGCACGTCCTGCATCTTTGTAGCGGAGGAGACATCAGCAGGGGCCAGTGGGCAATGCCCTTCCTGCTTTGCCAAGCTCATCTCCTCCTGTGCCCCCCCCTGACATCACAGAGGTCCTGACATTTTATAACAGCACAGACATGCCCTTTCGATCTTTGGCCTTTTGTGATGTTGAGTTTGCCAGGGAAGCTGTGGCTGCCTACTTGCTCTGGGTGGGCAGGATACCTTGCCAGTTCATAAACCCTTGGCTTAGAGTGTGTGCCCATCGATGGGGGGTTACTCTGACCACCTCCCTGCACAGGCTATACCCACCCACCCATATCCTGATCCATGATTTTCCATGCTTCCTGGCTGCTCAGGAAGGACCAGCCCACACCTATGAAAGCACAGGTTCTGGGTGTGAGGGGGATGCCACAGCCTTTGGATGGGAATGCACACATGGGGCAGAGGCTGACCCCTTGACCTTCTGTGTCCACGTGAGCATATGTTTCTGTTCCCCTTTCTGGTGAAATCTTCAAGCAGATACCATTACCAAGGCTCACCCAAGAGGAGACACGTGCTTTGGGCGCCTACAGGCAGGGGTTTGAGTGAATTTTGATTGAAACTAGTCCAGGGCCACTGCTGGGGACAGGCTTCTAAAGGTGACTTCAGAGAGTGGAAATACCCCAAACTTTCCTCCCACCGTCCATTTCCTTAGGCGAGGGGGGAAGGGGGGAGGGAGAAAGCTGTCCCGAAATTGGGCATCCGATGTGGGGTGATAGCTCCGGGCTGCAGGGGGAGGGCTCCCTGTCGCCCTGCGCTGGAGGTGCTCAAGGAGCTGAGGTTTTTGTGACGGCGGCGACCTGGGTCCCCGGGGCCGGAGGGGGAACAGTCAGAGCCAAGCGCGGAGGCCGGCCGGGCGGGACGAGGGAGGAGCGGGCGCCGCTGCGCTGACCGCCGCTGCCGACAGGGGGCGGCCGCGCACACTTCCTCCGCTCCGCCTGGGCCGAGGGACCGCGGCGGCGAGCGGCGCCTCCCGGGGTCTGCGGCTCCCGGACTGTGCGGGCCGCGGAGCAGCGGCTGCGGGCGAGCCCGGTGGCGGCGGCGGCGGCGGCGGCGGCGGCCGACGCTTCGCTTAAACCCCGCGGCCGGATTGGCGTTCCCACAGCCGCCCGCATGGACGCGGCGCTGAAGCGGAGCCTCTCGGAGGAGCCGGCTGAGCTCCCGGCGCCCGCCCGGGACTTGGAGGAGGAGGAGGAGGACGAGGAGGAAGAGGGGATGGAGCACGAGCTGGAGGAGGAAGAGGAGGTGGACCCCCGGATCCAGGTAGGGCGCACGGGGGTCCGGGGGGCGCCCCGATCTCGACCTCGCGAGGCCGCCGCGGAGGTCGGCGTCCACACCTCCAGCTGCCTGCAGCCCCCGGTGCGGGGAGAGGGGTCTGGACCTGCGGCTTCTCCCGGCTCATGGGGAGCTGCCGTGCCCGCGTGCATGCGGCCTGGCTGGGTCGCGGGGATCCCCGCAGACGCCGGGCAGCACCCCGGGGTCGCCGCGGCGCGCTCCGCGGTTCGGTGGATGTGCAACAAAGGGAAAGGGGGCGGGGGCGCCATGCGGGTGTGGGGGTCCCCGGCCCAGCTCCGGGCATTGCACGGCCTCATTTGGGGGTGGGGAGGAGGGAGAGGCCGCCAGGTGGGCGTCGTCCGCCCCGCCGCCCGGGCTGGCACCGCTGCCCGGCGTTCCGAGTCTTCTCCCTTCACCTGGCGCAGGTGCCAGCCCGCGCCGTCTTCCTCCTTTGATTCATTGTTACCAAACGGAAGGGTGTATTGTGTCCCCCCTGACTCAACCTTGCACTTGGCCTCGGAGGTTTCAAACCTAGCTTTGCCTTGTTGTGGGGTTTTGAGTGTGAACGGGAATCAGGAACAGCTGATGCGCAAAGCAGGCGCCGGGGGCGAGGGCGAGGGCATTGGCCTGGCTCCCCGCACCTCCATTTCCAAGGGAGATGATGGTTAAAAACCAGTTTCCAAGCCTGGACCTAGGAGTGACAGCGTAACCTCGTCACCCTCCAGGCAAAACGCACAGCAGATCCCGTGTTTCTACCCTTCGCATACGTCGTTTTTTAAAAATATATTGCTTTTCAGTCTATCTTTCCATTCCTGAAGCCCTCATTGGGTTTTTCAGTGCGCAGATCAATTAGTATCTCATTTAACCCAGCTGTTTCTATTTAAATGATTTTTTTTTCAGATTAGCCAGCTAAAGATCAGGTGGGAAATGCTTGCATTAGGTTTCTTATTAAAGATTAAAACCGTCAGTTTGAGCTACTCCCATATTTTCTTGGTAGGGGAATTCTGTTAACAAGATCCCTTTGTTTGCAGAATAAAATGAGTTAACTTCATTCTGGCCACTTTTGACAGAATCTCATTTTGTAAATGTTTATTTAAAGGTATTTTTTTTTAAAGCTAGTTTAAAAATACCCAGGGAGACTGAATAATTGCAGTTTGAAAAGAAAAGGTTTTCATCTTTATAGAAAAATATTCAACCACCAATGAGTTAACGTCAGAATCCTGCCCTTGATTGAAAACATTTCACCGGGTTTCTACTTGCGGCGTGGCCTTATTTATTTTTTTATTGCCTTTTCTGCAAAGTTCTTGCTGTAAGGCTGAAGGTCCTGTTTTGATTCGGCTCTGAAACCATTGTAACAGGTGGATTTACCTGAAGGCACAGACCTGGAATACCTATTTGACCTTCTAAGAAAAGACAGATTTCTGGGACTTTCTGACAATTGCAGATCAAAGATAAAGTTTTCAGAAATGCTGACATGCACTTGCTCTTCCGGCTGAGGCTCAGCTGTTTTCCTTGAGAATTAATCCTGACTCTCAGTCCCTCTTCCCACAAATGGTGCTGGAGTAATTTTGGAGGTAATGGGCTGAGTCATACTGGGAAACAAAAGACAATCCCTTTAAATCTTTTTTTTTTTCTCTCCCTCTGTTCTTCTTTAGGGAGAACTGGAGAAGTTAAATCAATCCACGGATGACATCAACCGACGGGAGACCGAACTTGAGGTACAGAAAGCCGAGCCCCTGTCCTAGTTGAAGTGACACCAGAATGGTTCATTCTGTGTTAGTCGCTGGAGGGTGGTTGCTGGCGTCCCCTGCTCGGGTTGAGCAATAGACTGCCGTCTGACAGAATCCAGTACACCGCTGAGCCCGGCTTGTGGGTGGAACACATATGGATCTAATTTCTCATGTTGTTTTTTCATCACGGAGGCTCCGTAGGGCCCAAACCTAGGGCTTTGCCCAGGCGTAAGCCCTAACGTGAATGTGTCTGTGGAAGCGCTAAAGGCCTGAGGGGGAAAGGAGCTGAACTCTTTCCTGGAGCAGAATGAAGGAGCTCTCACAAAGCCTCTGCAATGCATTCGGTTCCTTACATTGTTCTTGGAAACACGTTTCCCCAGACTTAAACCTTTTTTTTTTTTACTTTCCTGCGCTAATAATTCACCCCCTTTGACGTTGCTGCTCATCTCTTTATAGCCGGCTGGTGTAGGGTATAATCATCTTAACAGGAGAGGAAAAGCTGTTGAGACTGGGAAGGACTTTCCTGCTGGGACGCATCTTGAGAGGCTAGAACTCATTTGAATTTCATGAGCATCTCCCTACCGGAGTGTAAACAGATTAGCATCCTTTTTTGTTGTTGTTAATCCTCACGGAGGATACTTTTCCATTGATCTATGAAAGAGTGGAAGTGAGAGGGAAAGACCAAGAGAAACCTGGTCTCACTTGATTGGTTGCCTCCTGCAGGAGCCCTGACAAGGGCCTGGGCAGGGGGAGGAGCCTGCAACCCAGATAAATGCCCTTGGCTGGGATTGAACCCAGGGACCCTTTGCTCCGCAGGCTGACACTCTATCCTAGGGGTGTCGAACTCAATCAGAGAAGGGGCCAAAATCTAAAATCCAGCCTAAATCGCGGGCCGAATGGTTTACTGAACAGTCATAAACTGTCATTGTGATGGAAACGCAGCGGAGTGCAGTGATGACAGCGCGGTGCGGGCCACATTGCAAGGCCTGGCGGGACGGATTTGGCCCGCGGGCCTGGTGTTTGACACATGTGCTCTATCCACTGAGCCAAACCAGCCAGGGCCAGATTAGCATTCTTCACAGTTGCCTTTTCAGGAGCGGTCAGTTTTACCATCCATCAGCAGATCTGGACCACCCCTGCCTGTGTCCGGGAGCCTGTGAATGGTGTCAGAGCTGAAGGAGCGCGGGGAGCTGCTGGAGGGACCTGTGTCTGTAGCAGGAGAAATAGCGGGAAGGCCAGTGGAGAGGGCAGGAAGCACCTGGTCCCTAACAGTGAGGGTGCAGGCGGTAGGAAGGTAATCGACCAGTAGTGCACTGGTAACCTGGACGCCTGCCTGCCTGCCTGCCTGCCTGCGGCCGAGGCCCTGGCTGTGGGGGTGGGGATTAGAACCTGTCTTCTGAGCTGCGTGTGAAGGGTTCACCCCTCCAGCGCCACGGGAGGTGACTGTGAACACCGGCTGCACTTCTCCCCCGAGTGGAGTAAAATCTGAGTGTTTATTTAGGTTCTTCGCACTTAGGATGAACCGAGTCTTTATTGGGCAATTGAAATCTCTCAGAACCTCATATTTGTAATTCCCGAAACAACGCCAAAAGCCCTACTACTTCTATAGGGATTTACAAAGTTTTATTTTTATTTTATTTTATTTTATTATTATTTTTTTTATAAGCTCTGTCTCTCTCTGTCCTGTCTCAAACAGGCCAATGTGCTGTCCAATGCCACCCACATGTGGGCTATTTGAATTGAAATTAAATGCGATTAAAAATGCAGTTCCTGCCGAGACCAGTTTGGCTCAATGGATAGCGTGTGGGCCTGCGGACTGAAAGGTCCCAGGTTCGATTCCGGTCAAGGGCATGTACCTTGGTTGTGGGCACATCCCCAATGGGGGTGTGCAGGAGGCAGCTGATTGATGTTTCTAACTCTCTGTCCCTCTCTCTTCCTCTCTGTAAAACATCAATAAAATATATTTTTTTAAAAATGCAGTTCCTCAGTCAGGGTAGCCATACTTTAAGAGCTCCATAGCCCCTGTGTTGGACAGAGCAGAGAGCGCCTCTACCATCATAGAAAGTTCTAGTGGACAGCACAGTGTTGGGAAGGAGGGGAGATGGCGACTGCCCCTTCAGATGGGGACACGGGGGCACAATGTCCTCTCGGATCAATGACATAGGGAGCCAGGCCATTGTCCACATCCCCCCCCCCAGCTCTCAGAGTCTCCCGTTCCCAATGTGAACGGACGAGTTGGAAACAGTGTTTGCATTTGGATGCCGGCTCGATGCCGGCCCCTGTTCTGCTTGCGCACACACTTCGCTTCTCGGGGTGGAGTGGTTTCGTATGTGGAACTCCCTCTAGCCCTGGTTTCCGAAGCCTTTTTCTGAATGCACTCAGGTGTGTGTGTCGCAGGAAGCCGCAGGACAGGTGTTTCCTGCCTGGCTCTGGAGGGCCCTGGGCAGCAGCGAGAAGAGGTGGCCAGAGCTGGCCTGGTCTCTGGCTGCCCTTTTCGTGTTATTATTAGAACCAAGACGGACTCTGAAATATAATGCCAGCTGTGTAAGCAAGGAAAACATCCCTAGGAGCCACATTGAAAAGTAAAAAGAAACAGCTGGAGTGGACTTTAATCTATTTCATTGACCCAAGAATGTTCCGGACAGCATACTTTTATTTATTTTTTAAATATATTTTATTGATTTTTTTTTTTTTTTTTTTTTTTTTAGAGAGGAAGGGAGAGGAATAGAGAGTTAGAAACATCAATGAGAGAGAAACATCGACTAGCTGCCTCCTGCACACCTCCCACTAGGGATGTGCCCGCAACCAAGGTACATGCCCTTGACCTAAATCAAACCTGGGACCTTTCAGTTCGCAGGCTGAGGCTCTATCCACTGAGCCAAACCGGTTTTGGCAGGAAAGCATACTTTTCACATGGCCTCAATAGTAAAAGTCATTGAGATATTTTACAAATACTTTCTATAGGAACTCTTTGGGATCTTGTGCATATTTGACACCTACAGCACATCTCAGCCTGGACCAGCCACTCAGGAGCCCCGTGTGGCCCGGGCCGCCCAGGGCTAATCGGTGTTCCCTGTGAGTCTCCCTGAGGAGCAGAGGGACCCGGCCCCAGAGGGGCTCTGTGGGTGCCCCCGGAGCCCGAGGACAGGGGTGTCGCTGTGTGTCTCGTGGGCCGCCCTCCTCAGGCAAGCCCTGGGCCCAGTGGTGTCAGGCACTGTTTGGGCCTCCGCAGACATGTGGGGAACCAGACCAAGGTCTTGCCCTGGGGGGGAGGCGGGGGGAGAGGGAGTTACATTTCGGTTGTGGTGGGGTTGGGGGTGGGAGGGCACAGAGAAGTGGCTGATCATTCCTGATGGTAGGAACTACCTTAGAAGGGGGAGGTGACAGGCTGTGAGAGAGGAGGCACCTCAAGATAGTTGAGAGATAGCTGAGCAGAAGCCCTCAGAAGCTGAATCCCTGTGCAAAGAGGAGCAGATGGCGTGAGCAGCGGGGGCGGCACAGGGCGTGCGCCAGAGGATGTGGGACAGGAAGCAGAGCATTTTGATACTCGATTGATTCTCCTTATTCTTGGTAGTTGTTTTTTTTAAATGTGCCACAGTTTTTAATTTTTATTATTTTTAAATTCATTATTGCTTAAAGTGTTACATGTAGTATTACATACCAGTATGTCTCTTTTCCCCCCCATTGACCTCTCCCCGGCCACCCCACCCCCTTTGTGGTAATTGTTTTTTTTAAAATATATTTTATTGATTTTTTTTTTTTTTTTACAGAGAGGAAGGGAGAGAGATAGAGAGCTAGAAACGTCGATGAGAGAGACACATCGACCAGCTGCCTCCTGCACACCCCCCCCACTGGGGATGTGCCCACAACCAAGGTACATGCCCCTGACCGGAATCGAACCTGAACCTTTCAGTCCGCAGATCGACGCTATACCGCTGAGCCAAACTGGTTTCGGCGTGGTAGTTGTTTTCTGCAAAGTGGCTATGAACATGGAGTCAGTGAACCCTGAACCACTGCCCCCAGAGGGGAAAGACGCCAGACGCTTGCAGGACCCTCGCCCATCTTAGGCTCCTGCGAGTCTCTGGTCACACTCTTGTCAGCAGATTGACACATAACCCTGTTGTGTGTGTGTTCCCGTTTAAAGTCACCGTATTTAATCTGTGGGATTGATCCATTAATGTTGAACTGGTGGGCAAGAAAGAGCACAGCCTGGATGAAGCCTGTTCAGCACCCGAGTTCCCTGTGACCTGTAAACAGCCTCCTCGAGCTGAGGGCACCGGACAGCACGTTAGCACCAGGCGTGCAGGCTGGTTTAAGCGGCAGAGCCACCAACAGAAAACTCAGGAGCTATGGCACTGAAGGACTGTGGGGAGGGTACTGTTCACGGTAGGAGAGCTGAAACCAGAGCGGAGGGTCTTTGCTTGCCCTCGGCTGGGGGCGCCCTCATTGGGTGACACTGGGCATGTCTGCGGATGAGTGAGGAAGGGCACGAAGGTTGATTTGGAATCACGAGTAAATCGTGATGAGGGTGGAGTCTGTGAAGAATGAGGATTGGCTGGAATGATTCCGAAGCCCCTAGAGGAGGGGCTTACACTGTCCACATGTCCTTTGCCTTTACTTTTTGAATATTACTTGGTAGCACTCCTGACTTTGTCTGACTCTGATGGAAGTGAATTGGTGACCAGGTTTGTGACAGCTACTGCTTTGCTCACAGAGCGTGGCTTGGTTGTCTCTGGACAGCCATAGGCCGAGGTGCAGGCCTGGTTCACCTTTAGGATCCCATCTTTTTCCTCCTCCTCTCCTCCTCCTCATTTTCCTCCTGTTCTCCCGCCTCCTCCTCCTCCTCCTCTTCCTCTTTAAATCGGAGGTTACCAAAAGACCTCTGGATGCCAGCCACCTGCATGTCGCCAGTTGGACGTCTGCCTCTTCCTGCAACCTCACTTTGCCTCTGACCTTGTTTGCACAGCGCTGTGTCCCCTCTGCACTCT